GTATTTATAAGATGTCCGTGGTTCAATTCCAATTTTTTCACTTTTTTTTCTAGTATATTTTATTTTATAATTTAGTATAAATCATAAATTCAAATATTTGTGTTAAATATTTTTAAAATAGTTATTTTTCTTAGTAACCGCTAAATTACTTTTTTAAATTTGATACGGTTTTATTGTTATTTTATTTAGTGGGTCGTAGAAGTAGAAAAACTATACAGTACAACTCGAGTGATTTGTCCGGATGGCCAACATATTTATTCTCATCGCGCCAACTACTAGTCTTACAGCGGGTTGCAAGAACGATTGTTAAAATCTCTCGTTAGCTAAAGAACAAATAACTAACTGAGATTAAAACTGGCAACGGCGCTTTTCCAACTGACAGTCTGTCGCTTCACAGCTGATCACGGGAGATTTTTATATTAATGAAGTTAATTTGGTAATATTTTTTCGAAAATTAATTACAAATAAAGTAAAAAATGAAATTGAGGCTCAACCTTTACGGCTATGTTAACACTATCCCTATCTTTTTTCGACATCGGCTCATATTTTTAATAGACAGAAGCAAGGACAGTTGGTTCAGAGAAAAAATGTTTTACACATGAATATAATTTCTTAAAATAAAGAGAATGGCTTAAATGAAGAAAAGGTTCCAATAAGTCACTGGAAAAAGAGGAGAATACTCATTTAACTACCCTTCTAGTAGTGCTCAATTAAAAATCTGTGATTTGTGGTTTAAAGCAACAGTACTTAAATATAGTTTGTCCCTTTTATATAAACTAAAACTTTTGTCACACCATGGAAAAGTACATTTCTTTCTACTGTACATTATTTTTCAAATAGAAGTACATAATTAAAAATATGTTTAGTTTTTATCATGTGTGCAAACCCCATTTACTGTGGAAATATTTCTAATGTATTTTCTATTTTTAACAGACTTCAAAAAAGAAGTAGGTTCTCAATTCATCGGAATATATTTTTTTATGGATATTTAGCGACAATTCTTTACTATGTTGTCCGATTTCTGATTATTTTTTTGTTAGAAAGGGGGCTCTTCAGAGATGGTTCCATAATATAAATTTGGTAAAGATCTGATGATGGGATTCATGAGAAAATAATCACTCTTCGTTTTTTGTAGTCGTCAGTTTTTTTAAATTAATTTTGTAACTTATACATTTTTCAATGAATCAAAGTAAAAAACTGTTTAAATTGGGAAATTTCTAAAGTTCAGTATCTATTTTTTAGTTAGAAATGGAAAACTGGAGGAGAGATGGTAAAATCTCTGGTATGAGAAATAAATTCACATTTGACCTATTCTTGAAAAACATATACAGTTCCTTTTTGAATCCCTTCAATTTGGGTGCTATATTTCTTTGCTAATAAACTAATGCTAGAATTTGTTTTTTATTTAAGAACAACTTTCTATTTGTACACTATTGGAATTTCTAGATTGTTGAGAAAATTAAATAATTATGATATGATCCAATCCCATCCATAGTACCAGTCCAAAAAATGTCTTAAAATTAGCTTTTATAGGTTGTGTAATAGTCGAAATTTAGAATATTAAATAATTGATAATATGTATAAATTACACTTATTTACCTTAATATATTTGCTTTCACATTTGTAATTTACAGATTTGTAGGTCATAAATAAAACACCAAATTCATTTTAAAATTTTATTTTTTAGGATTAAATTAATATACACAAAATACATAACATAATAAAAAAATATAGTAAATCTACAATAAATAAAAATACATTTAATTTGCCCATCATTATTAAGAATTCTAATTCTAGAAAATAAACATTCAATCCAGGATTTCTTTTTGGTTATGACAGGTTTCAAGTTGACTGGTAATTTTGTGTTAAAATTTACAGTTTGCCTAATGTATTGGATACGTCTACTTTGCCAGTTCCACATATTTTATAAATGTATAAAAAGAAATGGATTATTTCAACATAGGTACAAACAATAAAAATGTTATTACTGATAGTAGTTTACTGCTAAATATTTACTTTTTCTGAAAATAGGCAGGAAAAAACTATAAAATAATATTAAATATGTTTAAAAATGTATTAATACATAACAATTATACGAATTAAAAAGTGTTTAACAATATAAGTAGAGATACCAAGCTCCACAGTTATATGGCTTAAAATTATTTATGCAATCATCTCATGAAATATTTTAAAATACTTAGCAAACACCTATATTACTACAAAGTAATGCCTATTTACAAATAAAAATATATTGCTACCAGGATATACCACCGTCATAAGCCAAACCCCCATAACTGACAAATTACAAATATTTGAGGTTATTTGACCATTCTGATACTGACCCATTTTTCTTTTTAAAAAGTAAACAAAATACCAGCAATTTTTATTCTGTATCCTAAAAAGTCAACTTGATTCTACAATGTAACTAACATTTTTCTAGAGAATTCTTATCAAAAATCAACCCAAAACATTAAATCACATTTATATAACTAGTTAAAAACATTATTCAAAACTTGTATTTAATTCAACAAAAGCAGCTATATTGGTAACACATATCAAAATACTGGCACTAATAAATTTCTTTTATTGCATATATCTCCATTCTATAGTTTGTGTAGTTACTGGGGCAGTATAGATATTTTAAAGTTTTATTTGTGAGCCAAGCCTGTCTTGTTTCAAGATTAGTGGTCCATACAACAATATTTTTAATTTTGTTGTTACAAAGTTTTCCTTTTTTAACTGTACGGTTTTGCTTGAGAGTCTGTGCAGGGGGATCGGCAGAGTCCACTTGGGCCAGGGAAGGGTTTAGTAGATTCCTTGGGAGTGAAGAGACTACTAGGAGAAGCACCTAAGGAGACTCCACTGGAAAGAGGCATAATATCAATTATTGATTTGTTCACCTACAGAATAATAAATAAATATATATGATTCTAGACCTCATAAAAGTATGTTCCAAAATATAATGATATAACAAAATTTATATAGAGATTCAACGATGATATTTAGCTGCAGTTAACTAGGACTCGTGTAATTATTTATTGCAATGCAAGAACCTAATTAGACCTAATACTTTAATAAAATGTGTGAAAGTTCCCTTCAATTCCAAATTTGTCTTCATATTACACTAATTTTCCTATCAACATACAAAGTATTTGTGATAATTATACAAGATGGTCCAAATTTGACATGTTTATAAGATATTACTAAATTAGCAGGGGATAAAGCACATTTATGTCGCACCTTTTTTTAACTAAGCATGTTATTTTAAATCCAGTTATAAATTCCTTCCCTGAGTAAAATGCAAGAGTGATTTTTAAAATATCATTATTTTGTTTGGGTGTTCAAATAAAAAATGGTGTTACCTCGAAAATGTGTACCCCTTGAAAAAATAATAAGTACGACAATGAATTTTACATATGTAACTATGTCAAATTATTAAATTGTTTTTCAAAATAAGATTTTTATTTGAGATAATAAATTATGATAAATTTAGAAAATCACCCTATAGTTTCTAAAAAGGATTTATAACAACTAAGCATTCCATGTTTTGTTTCTCAAAAAAGGTGACAATGGTGGGTTATAAGGTTTCGATATCCAGTTGTATCATGTGAAAACGTCGAATTTTGACCACCATGTATAATAAAACAGCTAAGTTTAAATAAAATAAATAAAATACTTTCTTACCAAAGAATGTAGCAGTGGAATCAAAGGAATTCAACGGGGACTCTATTTGATTATAAAAAAATGCTTTAATTTGAGCCCATCTCATCCAGTTGGAGATTAACCACGCCTCCTTCTTGTTTTTCACCCTTAAATAAATAAGGAAATAATTTAAATAAACAAAAATAATACCAAACGTTAGTTATTTCCAATTTTATTTTTTTTTAACTTTAGTAGTTTGAAAAATCTTTAAAATGGGAAAAGACAGATATTGCTAAAATTGTATAAATAATAACACATACAAAAGAAGTTTTATATTGTATATAATATAAAAGTGATTTAATTTCTGTTTAAATTAAAATCCTATAAATCAATCTTTTAAAATATAAAATTTGTATTAAATAACATTATAGGCTTTGCTTAGAAAATTAACTTTAAACATATTACTGCACAAATTTTTAATTTGATTTCAAATAAATTTTTTCTTTTATTACTAAGAAGTCACAATATTCTATGCTATATAGAAGGTAAGTATATTAAAGTTACTGTCCCAGGAGGGTCGGTGGGTGTACAAATTTTATGAATTTGCAAATGTTATGTATTAAAACAATAAAAGTGTTCCTTTGAATAAAACAAATACGAACCTTGTCCTGTATCTCCTTCTATTTGACCTCTTGTAAAGTTTAGTTTTCTTTTTGTTGTAAGTATCTCACTTTTAGATGTCCTTGTATCAGTTTTATATTTAATAAAAGCTAGTTATTCCTAATTAGTATTTTGGCCAATACAACTTCTTAGCCATGCAATAAAGAGATCTTCTATAATTACCTAAAACTTTAACCCCAAAAATGTAGTTGGAAATACAAATTAAGATGTAATAAAGTGAATGTTTTTGAAGGAATTTTATGTACTTGTTATTAATTTACTTACCAAGTGGTTTTTCTTCTATTTTTAGCAGTAAATTGCTTGCGATTTTTGTTGTCAAACATTATAATACTTCAACTAAACGAACTAAAATTGAACTTTTATAACATATATTCAAAGTACCTCTCGACACTCACATAAATTGGCTGGAAAATTGAAAATAATTGAAAAATTCTAAAATATTAATCCATAAACATTAATCTGTCAAAGTAAATGACGAGCAGAGCTCTGACAGAGGAAGCGCAGTTGCCAGTTCACGTCGTCGTTAAAAATTAACAGAAGAATGCAACCCGTACTACACCTTTAGTAAAAGATTTGGGTTTAACGAGTCATTAGATATTTAACGATCGTTGTTGCAACCCGCTGTTAATCATTTAGTTTTATTGGCAGGTTAAAAAGTATTTTTGAAATGTTTTAAGGTCTTCGTCATGGTTGTTCAAGTGCGTTTTCATCCCCAAATTCGAGTCAAAATTACCAAATACCATCAGGGCATAATCCACCTATCCAAGGAGAAGGAGGATTTGTTCACGGTAAGTTTTTTTAATATAATATCTAAGCGCATAGGTAGAATAGTTCCGGACGAGTGGTAAACCGCTGGTGTACTATGATATGCAAGCAACCTGTACTATGTGTACTATTTGTGTAATAACCCTTATCAAAGTTGTGTCAAATTCGCAATTTTTTTAAAAAATCCTCCAGAAAACTATCTGCTTTTGTTTAATTTTAATATTCGTAAAAAGTAACCACAACGTATAACATTATTAACAAAAAATTGGTATGGAATTGTTGTCTCCTCGTCCCTTTTGAGTTTTTTCAATGAATGAAAAAATGTCATTTACGTGTAACAAAGATTGTCAAAAAATAAAATTTCGGAATATCCTATTCAAAATTGGTATGTTGACATAAAATGTCATTAGTAAACAAGTTCCTCTATCCCTTTTTTTTATTTAAAAATATTCGGCCATTTTTAAAGATTAAAAAAAATGCAAATTTGATAGATAACTAATGTCAGTAGCTATTTTAAGTTTTTACAATGTTTTTTTTTCAATCATAATATTAAAATAAAATCCCATATGGATCCAACTTTATGGCACCCACTATATCAAAATTTGATTTACAAGGTGTTTCATAAATGGTAAATATTTTAACCATAGGTTCAGGACTTTAAAATTTTAAAATTTTGATAAATAACACTGGGTCAAATGTTATCTACTTCTGAGATACAGGATGTTGAAGTTAAAATTACTGAAGTATGGGCCCGTTCACTTTCATTTTTGAATGTGAATTAATTATATATTTATAAAGATATTAAACTCTTTTGTCTGGTGGTACTATTCCCGTTAAGATATTTTTGCAAGTAAGGGAATTCCAATAAAATTCTTTCAGTGACTCATTGCGTCAGAAAATCCCTAATTCCGTTCACGTCTCGTATCGGTTATGCTTAAAGACGGCGAGGTTGTCGGAAGTATCCCTAATATAGCATTTCTGCATTTATATATGTAATTTAAATAGCAAAATTCCATTATTTTTCTAAAAATCATGAACTTATATTTTCAGATTTAATGCTGGGAGCTTATTTTTTACTTTTTAATTAAAACAATTATTATTACTCAGGCTGAAAATTAACCAGACCATAATCAAAAAGTAGAAATTTGATTTGCAATATTTATCTGGTAAACGTGGCAACGTTGCATTTATTTCTAGAAGTGTGTGTAGACAACACTATTTAGAAGCACTTACAACGTTGTCACGTTTACCAGATACATTTTCTCAAATAAAATTTCGATCTGGTAATATTCAGCTTGAGTAATACTAATTATTTTTATTAAAATTTAAAGAAGGTAAGGCTTCCAGCTTTATCTGAAAATATAAACACATTATTTTTAAAAAATAATATATTTTTATCATGTAAATTTCTTTAATAAATGCAGAAGAGGAATGGTGGTGCAATGATACATCCGACAACCGCGCCCTGTTAACTATTAACCGATACAAGACCTGAAGGGAATTAGGGGTTTTCTGACGCAATGAGTCACTGAAAGAATTTTATGGGAATTCCCTTACTTCTAGCTAAAATATCTTAACGGGAAAAGTACCACCAGACAAAAGAGTTTAATATCTTTATAAATATATAAATAATTCACATTCAAAAATGAAAGTGAACGGGCCCATTGCATTCGTGCAGCGAAAAAATTTTCTTGCCCCCATTTTTAAAACTTTTTTCATGTTTCCGATCATTCTGAGTCCGCAAATGCAAAAAACGTCTGGTCGTCTGTGTGCATGTATGCCGGCACGATAACTCTAGAACGAAAGTTCTGATTGACTTGCGGTTTTGATTTTCTTGAATAATTACTTCTAACTTAGAACCCTTTTGATTTTCAGAATGTGCCTGTCAAATATCAAGGTATCAACTGTGATGTACGAATGGCTCTTAAATGTCAAAATGTTTAAAAAGGACCCCGCACTTTTAACATTGATTTTGGGTACTGACAGAATTTGTTCAAATTTTAGTATGTTATTTTTTAGGTCATTACCGGCAACTTTCTTATGGACCTCAAGTTTGCAGCTCTACAGGGTGAGCTGTTAGAAGGAGTCAAAAGTGTGAAATATAGAATTAATATTTTCATATATATCTCTACTACTCTTAAGTAATTCATGTTTTTTCCATGAAACTTATGGTACCTCTTACACTTGTATATATTTTTTTAATACCTTCTGGTATTTTGTAAAAAGCGTTCAAAAAATTAGAAATAGTAGTTACTTAAATAAGGTGCATTTTCATGTATTATCATAGTAAGAACATTATTTCTGATAGCTTATTTGTTATATTAAATACTAGATAATATTTATTAATAATACAGGGTGTGACAAAAATACATTATAATTTATAGTACAAATAATAATATTTTTTTACATAGATATTTAAAATTACCATTAAATTATAAATCAATAAAAGAAACTGCATTTAAAAAACTTTTACTACATACATTAAATATAAACCAATCACACCATCAAAATCTGACTCATCTTTCAGCAGCATCTAAAATAACACATGAAGAGTACTTTATATTATTTTCGTATTGGGCGTATCCTAGGTACTACAAAACACTAGAAATATGAGCACACGTGCCTATAGTTCTTGCAACAGTCTTACATGTACAGTAATACCCTTGAATTTCATTATACTCTATAAATAATATGTGCTTTACATTATTTGTAAATTTTGAATATATTCGACACAGTAATGCGTAGCCGTAAGAAAAAATAAGAGTAAGAAACCTCTAAATCGCTTTATTATAATTATTAAATCAAATACATCATACAGGTGTTAGAAGTAATTTAATTTGTCTCAAAATTGTTGTGAGGAGTTTTCGCGGCACTTTAAAAACCGAGTTTACTGCTTGTATCATAGATTAGTTATGTAATATCGTTGTATGAAGATAATATAGTAGGATAATGCAACAGTAAAAAGTGTTGGATGCAATCTCGAGCGGCATCTAGTGACGATTTAATGAAGTAGTCAAATTTTAATGCTATGCAGATACGCCATCTACGTCTTCTTTTCGTTCAGGCACATGTCCTCTATCACCTACCTATTATAGTTAAAAACATCTTTATTTATTTAAAAATAACAATTCATGATAAAAGACATGAAAAATTAAACATAATAATGAAAATTTATTCTAGTTGACAAAACCGTACGAATAAAATTTTTGGACTAAGGTGATAAAAAGTGGTTAAGGACTTTGGTCAATATTTTGGTTATGTGCGGTTATGTCAAAATATATAAACAATAACAAAGAATACCTAATAACAACTCATAACAATGTCCAATGTTTTAAATAAATTGAAAGTTCCAAGTAAAAAACAAAAAAGGAATAAGCTTCTGAAAATGTTGCATGTAATCTAAGTACCTCTAATTGGACTAAGTGTTGGAAAAGTTTATAACCATAAAAATAGCTGAATATTTTTATAGTTTTCAAAATTTGAACAAGCTTTGCTACAAAATTTCATCAAAGCCATCACAGTTTGCAAGATATTGAGTTAAGGAACAAGAAAATCACACTAATCAGGGAAAAATCAATCAACACTGGAAAACAAATTAAAAAAAAATAGTCACAGGGATATATTAGCGACTTTCAAATGTATCTTGGCTGTTGATCATGAATATAAGAAAAAAATGTTCTCTCGGCTGGCTCTGAGTGTTGAAATAAATCACCTTGAAAGGAAGTTTTTAATAGCTCCACTCTTTAGGAATAGCTCAAGACGAAATCAATAGACTTACAAGTGGTCTATCTGTGGTAGACATATTCAGTTAGTCTTTATATTTCATTATGCAATGTTACAAGGTTCAGCAACTTGCCAAAATGGTTAAAATTTATTTCCAAAATCAGTGCTCTTATTTAGTACAGAATTCTATGAACGACACAATAATTATAAAGTCCTAACTTTGAACATAAAAGAAAATCTTATAAAAAAACATTTTTTTATATAATTTATCACTGTTTGGAAAAGTATATTTGTTTGTAAAATATTTGTATTTACAGTTATATTTAATCCAGGGTTAAGTGTCAGTGCGCGAGTATAATGTTAAGTATGAACAAAATCCGTCCATTCTGTTTATATGTTTGGTTACCGACCCTAGTAGATAGGCTATTTGTTATTACTTTTAATTTAGATTTTGGATTAACGTTTTTGTATATGACTTGGCTGTTTAGTAATAAATGAAGTCAAAACTGTAACACGTGGTTTTATTCTGGAAAGTATTTTTAAATTGAATCACGCACGCCGTTCGAGTGAAAATGTTTTAAGTAGTTCAAAACAACAATCACTCTTTTTCATTGTTTATAGAATACAGCCTTTCAGTTAGCTCAGACAAAACTGATTAAATAAATAAATTAATGTCTTATTATTTTTTGAATTTTTTTTATTTTGACTGGTTGACTATCTCAAAAATTAAAGCCAATCAAGCAAAACGTGAGTCACATTTCGCTTTTTTAGAAGAACAATAATGCAAGTGAAAATTAATGATTCCACAGAAATAGCAAATTAAAGAAAATGTAATATAAAACTTACAACTAAGACGTTAAAGAAAAGTTTGGAAATAATCGATGGGTACTTCGAGATAGCAAATTTATTTTAGTTTTAGACAGAACTACTTTATTTTATTCGTTTTGAAACAATTGAAGATTTATAGGCCGGAAAAGCGATTTTAAACTGAATATTCAGTCCAATAGGCTCTCGACCGAAATCCTTTCCATTTTTAGAATATTATCTTTCAAATTCAACAATTTTATGTTTTGTTCCAACACGGATTTTAATAATAGATTTATAAATTGTTTTTGTTTATTTGAATGTTAAAAGTTCTTAAAACTAACTTTAACATATATTTCCCATGCTGGCGCTTAGTGTTAAAATAATGAGACGATTAAACGAAAAAGGCTTACAAGAGCCAGTTGCCCTCTTTTGGTACACATTTGTACAAGGCAACTTTACAAATGTTTCCTCCTTTTTTCTCTTGTAGAAGATGGACACGCAGTCGAGCGCACAATGATGGTATTTTAAAAAACCACGTCACATATTTGATTAGATAATTAACTTGATATAAGTGCCTTCAAGACTTAAGTCGTTAAGCATTCAAGTTTGGATTTCCCAACCCAGATTCAATTACATATAAAAACATTCTTTCTTATTTTGGAAAAAATATGAAAAATATAATTAATGCAATCTTTCTGCTAAATTTTGTAGTATTTTGATAACAGTTCAGAAAAAAATAGTAATAGTCAGTAACTGATCTTTACGAAACCCAAAGTTGAGCACTTAACGTCCTGAGCAATGAAAGTTTATGTCAATGTTAATTATCTAATCAAATATGTAACATTCGCATTTTCTATAATTTATTTTTTAAGACGCCTTCGTTGAGAGCTTCATCATTGTAGGACATGCAGTAGACATGCAGCAAAGTATTTCCATGTACAAAAAAAAAAAAAAACAATGAAAAATTTTTAATTTTGCCTTTCGAAAATAATACTCCTAAATGTGCCTACCGCATAAATTGGTACTCGATTCGTTTTCAAATGGTGTCAAAAGTTGAAAACTGAAGATTAGTGGCTTACATGTTTTTATTACTTAGTATAATTTCACTAAACGTGTTTGGTATTATGTTATAAGTTTACCTAACAGCAAAAAAATCTGTTAGTTAAATTTTGTCAGTGCCGATTTTAGTAAAATTATATTGAATAATAAAATTATAACTACCTATATATTTACCCATTATTACTTTTTTAATTTTCAACTTAACATCCTGTATTTCAGAACATTTTATCCAAACATTTTTTATTTTCGTTTATTCGTCTCATTTTGAACAATAATATTCAGTTGTTCATGTCCTATTCTTAATTTGATGATACCATTAAATAAAAGTGATTATAAATTAACAGCGTACAACTCAAGTTTAATTAACCATCAGCGATACATCCAAAATCCAACCACAATATAGAAAAAAATGTTCCCTATTATAGTAAAATTCCACCCAATCTCAACTAATTCAATCTTTTTCAAACAAAAACTGGTTTATTTTATTATATCGATTATTTTCGCATTTTGTGTCACCGTTTTTATACCCTGTATTCTGTGCTTTTGTAATAATTTGAAATAGTAAATTGTAACTATAAAAATACATTACCGAAGACAAGTAGAAATGAAAAAGAAGATTTTAAATTATAATTCATACTCAAGCACAGACATGACCTAAAGACCTGACTTGGACATAAGTACAGTATCGCCATCTACATTCTATGTCCATCGTCCTCCAATGATAAGTCCATAAGGTTACCCTACTATATTTCTTCATACAACGGTAATATCGTCGTTGTAGAGTCAAAACCTCGTAATTCATATTTTGGCGTAACTGAATGTAATTTTCTTTTTTTTTTAGAGAGATTAATTTTAAAAATGTAAATCTGTAACAATTTGGAATATTTTTGACTTACATAAAAAAGTTACGTTTACAAAATTAACAGTTACAGAAAAAAAAGTGTTTTTAGTGTTTCCTGAAAACCTGGTAATTTTATGATACGACGTTTTGACTCTACGACGACGATATGAGGTTTGTTCCAACAACTATCCAAAATCAGTCATTGGCACCAGAATTCTGCGCAGTATATTATTTGGGTACTTAATGATCTACTGCGCAGAATCCTAGTGGCAATGACTGGTTTCTGATCGTTGTTGGAACAAACCTAAGGTATCAGCTCCTTGTTTTATAAAATAGAATATTCTAATTTTTAATAAAAATTTGTTCCATGTTCAATTTGGTTATCCCCCCAAGATCCATATCTGGGTACGCCACTGATTCGATACCGCAATAATGTACGTTCAAATTGTTTGCACTGAAAAACAAATTCATTGGTTTTGACCCTGCTTGATGTACAGGGGTGTGGAATAGCTAAGTAGAATTGGCCAGAATTAAATATCATTAGTATTTATAACAGGAATTTGTTTATTAAATTACTATTGCGGAAACTGTATAAGATTTTTTATATGGTTCTATCCGAGAATACCGATCAAGGAGAAGCGACAGTAGCTGTCGGTGCCTTTGATATCGGATGGACCTTTTTCACATCATGACTTTGATTAATACACAACTTAGCACGCTGAGAAAACATGCTTATTTTCTACACTGAGCGAAATAGTTTGGTAAATTATCTGAAATCATTGTTATAGTCCATGCGCAAATGTTGTAATGTGATTTAATTACATTGAAGTAGTCAG